CACCACTGTAAATAAGAAAGGGCCCAATCTGTACTACCTCAGGTACCTCACTCCGCGTCCCCACAGCTCCCCTGATCCCCTGTCTCCTAGTCCATTCCCTCCATCCAGGAACCCCCCCCCCCCCCCCCCCCCCCCGGAAGGTTTAGCTGCAAGCTCCAGCAGAGCAAAAAGGCACCACTTCTTTCCCGATCCTAGGCTTCTTGCTTGCCGATAATATACTATACCTTCACCAGACGCCTCACGTCTTCTGCTCATAGATTAACGCCTCCACACGATAACCCATTGGACTGGCCCGCCGTCGTCTCCTCCCCTCCTCTCCCTGTACTATAACATAGCCTACAAGACGCACACCACACACTTTAACCATTACTACACACGCACATACGCACACACACACACACACACACACACACACATACGCATCTATCTGCACTTCATCTCAACTTCTTACCTTGTTTCGTTTCTTCAGCCAACATTTGCTGCCCGTGTTTGGGCTTGTCTTGTGCCGGGCATACCCTCTCTCTCCTGTGCCCGTTGCCCGTCCTTCGGATACCACAAATTCCCACCACAGCCATCGTCATCGCACATAAACCACACACTTTCAAAACAACAAGACCAACTAAACAAGAGACGCCTGTCCTTCATCTGCTGGCTCTCGTCTCCACCACACACAAGACTTGGACTCTCACAATCCTCGCGCACTAAGGTTTCTCCATCTTCGGCTCACCGCTGTCGACACTCGCAACATCCTAGCATCGCCCAGAGGTAGTCTCGTCACGAGGATAGAGCCTCAGACGTCCCCTTGCCTCGCCTTTCTCCGGTCCCCCACTTGGGTGATTCTCGCGGTCCGTCTGTCTGAACCAGCTTCGCAGTGGATCCTCCTTCAACTTCGGAGATCGTCTGGAGCTCTGTGCACACGCCTTCCTCCTCCGAGTCGAGTCGCTGCAGAAGGACGAGACGAGAAAAGAACAGGAAGCAGGGGAGCTTGCCCGTAAAAGTGTCGAGTTTGTTTCCCTGTCATCCAGACACGCCCCGAGGCGAGGACAAAAACGACGCCAGTCTGTCCCTTCTTTCCCACCCCAAGATCCGCTTAGTCTCCCGTACCTGAGCGCTCAGAGGTTCGACGATCGCATTGTTCCTGGTGGCCACCCATTATGCTTCTAGTCTCGGAAACTTAACACACGCCGGCCCTTGACACTTGGACTTCGAAACGAAATACACGGCAAGCCAGCCCGAACTTGGTTCACCCTTCTTATCTCATCCGCCGCCCGAAGAAGGGATTGTCCTGCAAGCAACATCAGCACTTCCCACCAGTTTGCGCTCGACCACTCGCATCAGATCCTCCAGTCAGGTGGCTAATTTTCATCGAGGAGGGAGATTTTTAGTGCCTGTGCACCAGGACCCTCTCACCTTTCGGTACGTCCACACTTGTGGCTGTCTTAAGAAGGCTACTTCCCACCCGCTATGAACCCGTTCTACTCTCTGGCCCTCACCAGTTCATCGTACCTTGGGTTATCTTGGGCTGATCGTTACCTACCAGCTTCACTCCCCTTGCTCTCTCCCCATTCTATCCTTCACGCCCACCACTCACTCTCTCCTCACTCACCTCCACACCCACACACATACACACTTTCTCTCTCTCTCTCTCTCTCTCTCCAAGCCTGAGGAGCATCAGCTTTCCCGTCACCGCCACCCGTGCCTGATTAATACCACCACCCCCAACCAAGCTCAGGCCTCCTCGACTACTTCTTCCTCCTCTTCCTCTCCCTCCTCTCTCTCACTTCCTTCATATCGTCCTCCCATCTCCCATCCCCTTTGGCAAAACGTTCTTGAACGCACCGTCACCTCCAACGCGTCGAACATTGCTCAACTTCGGCAACCCTGCGCTGGACGCCGCACCGTTCCTTGTCTCACACCGTCGGGCCTCCTGTTCCTCGGTCACAGTTCTCCAACATCACCCTCGCTGTCCCCTACTCCTCCCTCCTTGAACGACGATTCGGCAGTTCGCAGACGGAGAGCCCGCATTGAGGGTCCCGCTTAAGCAGCATTCCGAACCGGGGTACCATAATATACGCACATCCACCCGTGGCACGCTTGCTTCTTCTGCTCCGGGGGTCACCACATCAACCCACCCCTTTTATCACCCACTGAATCAAGACATCCTCCTAATATCTTCCACCATAAGACTATAAGTAGTACAGCTCCTACACCAGTCCGTTCCTTGGTAATTCGGCCATCACACCCATCTACCCACACGCAACACCCAAAGAAATGGAACTCATGGAACTTGTCGAGAACGAGCCTACCGCTCGCCCCTTCCAGTGCGACTGGCAGTCGTGCAACAAGGTGAGTTGCCACAACCCTCGCCGTCGCTTGACGCTATGCTGCTGTTGCCGTCTGCGCGGGTCTAACCTTGACATCCTGTAGAGCTTCAACAGAAAGTCGGACTTGCAGAGACATTACCGCATCCACACCAATGAGCGCCCCTACTCCTGCACGACGCCCGGCTGTGGCAAGAGCTTCATCCAACGGAGTGCTCTCACTGTCCACATCAGAACCCACACGGGAGAGAAGCCTCACCAGTGTCAGCATATCGGCTGCGGAAAGCGATTCTCTGATGTACGACCATGTCCCCCCTTCTCGTTGTGCGCTGGCACGTACTGACTTCAGCAGTCTTCGAGTCTGGCCAGGCATCGTCGCATCCACACAGGCAAACGCCCTTACAAGTGCGCCCACGACGGTTGCCTCAAGAGGTAGATTTCGAGCCCACCGACCTTCTCCTTCGCTTGTGAGCGCCTGGAACTAACCAGACTGAGTAGCTTCTGCCGCAAGACCACCATGGTCAAGCACCAAAGGCGTTCTCACCAACGCGGCATGCACAACGGCGGCGACATCCTGGATGACTGCACATCCGACTCGGACAGTGGCGAGTCGCCCTCGACCCCGAAGCACGCCAACATGCAGTGGCCCCCTCACCACCAGGGCGTCATGGCCATGAACCACCCCGGTATGGGCCACGCCATGAGCCGAGCAGCATCCTTCAACGACTACACCCAGCACATGAACGGGTACCAGATGCAGCAGCAGCAGCAGCAACACCAGTACGGCGCGCACCGCCACAGCTTGTCCGGCGGCCCCCACGAGTTCCACGAGCAGCAACACCCCGCAGTCATGCTGCAGCGAACCGCCAGCATGCCTCAGCCCCCGTACTTTGTGACGGAGCAGGGCAACCCGGGTGTCGCTACCATGAATACCAACATGTACGCACAAGTGCCCCGGCAGCAACAGCAGCAGGTGGACATTCCGTACTCTGCACCTGGTATGAACCAGTCCATCCAAAGCAGCCCGAGCAGCTTCTCGGCAGCATCGGGTAGGAGCCCATCCACCCAGGAAGGGTTTTATACTCACCAGCCAACGCAAGCAGCCACATATGCCCTGCATCATGCCTCCCCCGTCATCGAGCAGCAGCAGCAGCAACCGGGTATGGTCGCGTACCAGCACCAGCAGATGCAACAGCAGATCCACACTCCCCAACCGATACCGACGCAGGCACCGCAGCCCCCGCCCCAGCAGCACGTCAGCCAGTACACCTCACCGACGCCCCAGGCCCAGCCCGAAGAATACTGGAACAACGTGCCGTACCAGGCCCCCGTCGAGGTCGCCACCATCGGCCAGCTCCCGACATACGGTTCGGGAGTGTACGACCCTTGGGGAGGCCCCAAGATCGAGTTCGAGGACCCTTCGATGCAGCTCCCCTCCGCGAGAATCGAAAATTTGTAAACAGCCCTGGGGCGTCGCCACTCGACAGTGGCTCACCCAGCGGCCGAAAACTCATACATTATTTCCCATCGGTGTCCCGTCTTGGGTCACCGGCTGTACCACCACCGGAAATTATGATCGCGATTTGATTTTCAGATTCCCCCACAACGTTCAGCGAGAGAGAGAGAGAGAGAGGAGATACCACACGGGCTCCACAGTACCGAGCTGTCGATTGTTAAGAGAGCGCAATTCCTACACCCCCTCGGATGGCCTCGGACACCCACAAGCGGTGCCCATAATCTGTCACACGCCCTTCGGTTTGACAGTCCAACAGGAAAAAAAGGAAAAGGAAGGAGGAAAAAAAAAAGAAGAAACACAACAGGTTCAAACCAAACCCCAAAAGCATACAATCATTCGTGGTAATTTGTCTTTTTTGCGTCTGGTTTTTTCCACACTTGTGCCCGGCAACCACTCTCTCGGCACACGCTTATGTTGCCGCGTAATCGCCATTGTGTCGACGGAGGGGACGCAGGACGCGAGATGTCTACGTCCGGTATGCTCTTCGGGCTCCTAGAACTCTGTCACCGCTTCGATAGCCACCTCAACGATGCATAGTGGCCCTTTTTCCTATAGGCACCATTTTTTTCCTTTGTCAGGGACATATCGTTTACCCCATCGACGTCGAAATTGTGCATATCGGTTCATGTTTTCTGGGTATCATTGGAAGGGGGCCCTCTCATGTTGCTTTTGAGTTAATATTCTTTTGTCTTTGTACGTTCTTCGGTCTGGCTTGGGTTTTTCTTTGGCTTGGTTTTTGGCGGTACATGTCTTTTTCTTCCCCGGAGCTCGGCTCGGCACGGCGGCGGTCTGCTGTCTTATTCAAGATTCTCTCTTTCATATTTCTTTTTCCTCACTCCCTTTTCGCGAGAAAGGTGTGTTTATGTGTCGACCTGGTCGGAACAAGGCCCACCTTGATGGCACGATGCGATGAAAGCATATCAACCGGAGCAGATGGATCGGGAGGAGGGAGAAACCTGGGAATCATTTTACGATATCCGAACATCGACGGCTCTTTGACGACTGAGGAAGACGAAAGGAAAGATGAGGAAACAGATGAAGCGAAGGGCGATAATGACGTTGGGAACGAGATCAAAGGGTCGACAACGATGTCTAGCACACGATAGGCTCGGTCGGTTTCTGGGGCAGCCATCGTCTGGTGGATTTTGCCCCTTGCTTGTGCTGCCTCGCCTCGCGGCGCCGGAAAACAAAACATTTCCTGTAACAGTACGCAGTCGATGATTTCTCTGTTTTGAGACGCCTGTGCCTAGACTGGTTTATGCCCTCGACATGGTATCTGGCGAGGAGCAACGGCCAAAAGGGAGGAAAGGGGTGTTGAATTGGAAAGAGAGGGCAAACAGGAGAGAAGGGACTTGTTTATATGTACTTTTAGTATTACCCTTATTTTTGCGATGGAATGTTTAAAGGGTCCGTGGGAAACAATTGGGATAGTTTTGGAAATCGATACCTTGCCAATCAAAGAAAAATAAAGACAAGTTAATAAAATAAAAAAAAAACCGAGCACCTACGCGACTTTGGTGAGTGTGCAAGACCGAGAAGCCGATAGAGGCACAGAGAACCATTGTAGGGTTTGCGGGTTTTGGTCGGGTAGATTGGATGGCCGCAGCTAACACGGGGCAGGGACTGCGTGACGGGGAGGCTGGAATTGGCCCTTTGTAGATTTTGTGCGGTGTAAGTATTGGCAGCCTGCGGATCATGTGCTGTCATCTCCGGAGGAAGGAGACGCAGACTGTGAAGTTCCAGTTGTCGTTGGTCATATCGATGTATGTTTGACGATAGTTAGCTTCCTAGAGGGGTCTAGCAAGGGTTAGAGTGACGGGTAATCGAGACGGCGTTGTTGTCCTCGGTCCGAGGCTTCGTCCTGGTCCTCAGACTGTTCTGGTTGCAGCATGAAATCGTGCAGGAAGCTGCGCCAACACAACGTCCGCATAACAGACGTCGCCCAAGGGCCACCTGAAGGCGGGATTGGTGACGACGGAGGGTAAGCTCGGTGCTTGATGAGATGCGCGCGGGAGGGAGCCTGCGCCATTTATTGCACGACGGCTCTCATCCGGAGAAGTCGTTTGTGAGCTTGGCGGCAGCCTCGTGAGCGCCAAAAGCTGACACGGGTTCCTGAGCGACGGTATCGATAGGAGGAGAGGTTTGGGTCTGAAGGTGGCATGCGCGAGTGTCGAATTCCGAGAGAAAGACGAGGCGGAATAGACCAAGAGAGATCGAGAGAGAATGAGCGGAAAATGAGAGGAGGGGAGAAGGATGGCAACGTCCAACAGAGATGGGCGCGGAATCATAATCGAGGGTCCTTGTTCGGTTCGGGCGATCTGCAGCGTCCGCCTGAATGCGGAAAGAATGCAGCCATCTCGCTCCCTCGGACTCGGTGGTGTTTCTGGGGCTCTCGAGTGGACTGGCAGGAGGCAATTTTGTGATTGGCTGGAATTACAACCAGTCAGCTGCCTCGGGCTTGACTTCCAAGTCGTGCTGTGCTGTTGGGCGAACGAGAGCAGACGTCGAGCAGAATCCAACAAGAAAAGTGCTGGTCCAGGGAATGCGTCGAAATGGCAATGGTCTTGGAAGAAAAAGGAATTTTCCAGAATATGTAGTTCCGTCTTTGGGTCACCTCATGTCCGGTTCGCCAAAGTCACCGAAATGAGATTCAATCTCGGCCGAGAGATCTTTATCGGCCAATGACGTGTGCTTGGTATACCGGTATGCCCCTGTCGCTCACTACGGATCGGCCTTTCTCTGTCTCCGGGTCGGGGCGATTCGAGAACAAGCTTAGTCAATATCACGTGTACATGGCAACTCGGTCGCCAGCTCTTTCCCCCCCGGTCACGGACCTTCGGAGCATGGAAAAACTCGGAAGGCAGCACCGCCTGTCGTGGTCATAGAATTAACGTCTATTAGCGTAATTCGCCTCAACGTATCCATATCCGTCGCCCATCGCCTCTCAACAAGCCGATGCGTATCTGACCGGCGATAGACCATGTCAGCTTCCTTCCAACATCAACCACGACGTCGATAGCAGCCGAAGAAGCCTTTCTCGTTTTCTTTCCTTTTGTTCGGAAGGGGATTCCCCCCCCCCCACACGAACACTTATTCTCCTTTCCATCAACCCATCACGCAGCAAACGGTTAAGGTGTCCACTCTGACGACACGCCTCATCCGGCCAGCCCCAAAGGCATCATGGCCTTACGCCCAGCTGCGCTGGCGCTGAGCGCGACCAGCCCGCTGCTCCGGCGTGCGGTGTTGCAGCCCGCGACGATGCAGTCAATATTCCGCCTTGCGACGGCTTCCGCTCCGTCCGCTCGCCCAGTGGTCCCCTTCACGAGAACCCCCGGTTTGGGACTCGCCCTTCAGCAACACCAGCAACGCCTCTTCGGGACGAACCAGCCCATCTCGCGCAACCTCCTCGCCAGTCGGGAGGCCGCGGCCAACAGGAACCCCGGCAGCGCCACCGCGCAGAACGCATTCTACCAGCTCCTCCTCAAGGCCAACATGCCCGCCATCGTCATCGAGCGCTACAACTCGGGCCGATTCGCGAGGAACGAGGCGGTGGACCAGGCATACGCGCAGGCGATCGGAATGCAGAGCACGGCGGCCGTCGGGGGCCTCGGGGGCCACGACCACCTGCCCTCCGCCTTTGGCAACGTCGGCGCCGTCGGCGGCCAAGAGCCGGGCCAGCAGTCCCCCGCGGGCAACCTGTCCCCGGCTCAGCTGCAGGCTGTAGGTCAGGCGCTTGCTGCGAGGTCGCGCGATTCGAACATGGCCACTTCCACTCAAGGCAATGGGCAGACCGGTCCGCTTCACGTCGTCGTCGATGAGCCGTTTGGTGGCGTCGTCTTTCGCTGGGTCAAGTTCATCCTTTGGTTCTGCCTCTTTACGTATATCAGCTTGATTCTCGTCACCTTGCTCATCGAGACTCTCCAACTCTTCAGGCGGCCCGGCGGCAAGGTCGACAGCGAGGCCAAGGCGGAGAACCAAACCACCCGATTCGCGGACGTGCACGGCGCTGACGAGGCCAAGGACGAGCTCCAGGAGCTGGTGGACTTCCTGCGCAACCCGGACAAGTTCTCAACGCTCGGCGGAAAGCTCCCCAAGGGTATCCTCATGGTTGGCCCCCCCGGTACCGGCAAAACCCTGCTGGCCCGCGCCGTTGCGGGCGAGGCTGGCGTTCCCTTCTTCTACATGTCTGGCAGCGAGTTCGACGAGGTCTATGTTGGCGTTGGTGCCAAGCGTGTCCGCGATCTCTTTGCGTCGGCCAAGTCCAAGTCTCCCGCCATCATCTTCATCGACGAGCTCGACGCCATCGGTGGACGCCGTAACACCAGGGATGCCGCCTACCACAAGCAGACGCTCAACCAGCTGTTGACCGAGTTGGACGGTTTCGAGCAGAACAGCGGCGTTGTCATCATCGCGGCGACCAACTTCCCGGAACTTCTCGACAAGGCTCTCACCCGACCCGGACGTTTCGACCGCCACGTCACTGTTCCCCTGCCTGACGTCCGCGGCCGCATCGAAATCCTCAAGTTCCACGCCAAGAAGGTCAAGGCTGCCCCCGAGATCAACTTCGAGGCCATTGCCGCCAGCACCGGAGGTCTCTCAGGTGCCGAGCTCGAGAACATTGTCAACCAGGCTGCCGTCCGCGCCAGCAGACTCAAGGCTGCCGCCGTCAGCATGGCGGACTTCGAGTGGGCCAAGGACAAGGTCATCATGGGTGCTGAGCGCAAGAGCATGGTCATTGGCGAGAAGGAGAAGGAGATGACGGCTTACCACGAGGCCGGCCACGCTCTCGTGTCCTTCTACCACGAGAGCGGCCCCAACAAGCTGTACAAGGTTACCATTCTGCCCCGAGGCCAAAGTCTCGGACACACTGCCCACCTTCCTGAGATGGACAAGTACTCGTACACGACTAGAGATCTCAAGAGTCTGATCGAGACTTCTCTGGGCGGAAAGCTCGCCGAAGAGCTCGTCTATGGCACCGACAAGGTGACGACGGGTGTCTCGAGTGTAAGTTGCCGGACATGCGAATGCCACCAACATTGCTAACGTTGCCTAGGACCTCAAGAACGCCACCAGTCTAGCCTACCAGATGGTCGCTCTCTACGGCATGTCTGCCAAGCTTGGCCCTGTAGAGTACGGCGAGCGTTACGACCAGCTCAGCGGAGAGACCAAGGCCCTCATCGAGTCGGAGGTGCAGCGTACTCTGACCGAGTCGTACGAGAAGGTCCGCGTGCTGCTCACGAAGAAGCGCAAGGAGCTTGATCTCCTCGCCAAGGCACTGGTAGAGTACGAGACCTTGGACAAGAACGAGGTGGAGAAGGTCATCCGCGGCGAGAAGCTTCCTGGCCGTACGCCCATCCCCAAGGGCCCTATGAAGGTGCCTGCGAGCGCCGCCGCCAACATTGGCCAGAAGTTCCCCCCGCCCCCTGAAGCGGGCGAAGGCTCTGCCGTGCCCCCTCCCTCGCCGCCGCCGCCATCTGCGTCCGCGGGGGGCATGGCTCCTGGGTCGGACCGGAAATCATGATCTGGGATGAGTCTCGGTGGCTCCCCAGAGAGCCACTTTACATATCCGTTCCTTTTCAAGGCGGCGACATGCAGGAGTGTGGAAGCCGAGTCGCGGCCGGGGGGCGAAAAGGCACTCCGTATCATAACACTTGTATCATTTCAATGGGTGCAGCATGGCAGGCGTTTCAGCGATTCGCGGAAGAAGATGCAAAGTTGCCTGCTTTGGACAAAAGGGAAGCAAGGCAGTCAGGCCAAGGCAAAGCACAATCACCTGGGCGGGATTGCTCGTACCAAGATTTCCAGCAAGTGCAGAGGGACCTAACAGACCGCTGCCCATAAAAAACACTCTCCCCTCACCTGGGGCCTTGACACGCCTTCGCGAATAGGGCGTCGGCATCGGGCATGGATCGTTTGGCTATCGAGCAGAAAGGATCCGAAAACAAACACATAGGTTGTTGGAACTTTGACACGGAAAGGACAGCGTACGATCCCGATCAGCGGATTGACAGCGGCTAGGCTCGAATGAGTGTATTATTTCGTTTGTAGGAATATGTAACTAATGCATAACCCACACGTTTATTCGCTTTTGGTGCCTCACAGCCTTCTGCCTCCATCCTGTGGTTTTTCTTTTTCCCGAGGAAATACCTGCGTAGGACGATTGGAGAAGACAGAGTGCGGTGATTGCTTGGCCGTGGAAGCGTTCCATTCTGAAAGCGTTTGGCAATTTACGCCGCTTGCCGGACTACCGCATGTCGGCCTCCGCTTATCATCATTCACTTTGGGTGGAGCGGGCTGGCTGCGGTTTCGGCGGGACGAAGAGCCGAGGCGCGGCGGGGGGGGGGGGGGGGGGGGGGGGCGGGAAGGTCGCCAACGGGCACATGAATGACGTGATAGCGCCGGTCGTGGGCTTAACCTCCCACGGGCCTGAGGGAGGGGCTTAGGTGAGCGGGGCATTTTGGGGGGCCGTCGATCACCATGCGGTGGAGGGGTAAAGTGACAGGCGTTGGGGGGGGGGGGGGGATAAATAGGGTTGGTTGAAACATCGCTTAGTTGAGTGTGTCCTCACAAGTTGTTCAAACACTATCTCGAATCCATAACACTTTGCTTGATCGAGCACCAGATATATCAATCCAACGACAAAATGACCAAGATTTTGCTCACCGGTGAGTACGAATGCAACCTCACTTAGAGGTGCTGTCCCAGGGCGTTCGAATGGGGGAAAAACACCCGACAGGATGGGCGGCGACTCCCGGCTCACAATCATAGCACAACGAGCAACCAACCCGTGGGCACAGAAAGGCTAACTCGGGAACAGGCGGCTCCGGCTTCATCGCCGCCCACATCCTGGAACAGCTCCTCGCGCGCGGCCACTCGGTCGTGACGACCGTCCGCTCCGAGGACAAGGCCCAGAAGATCCGCGACGCGCACAAGGACCTCGACGCCTCGCGCCTTTCCGTCGCCATCGTGCCCGACATTGCGCGCGAGGACGCCTTTGACGAGGTCGTCAAGACGCCCGGCCTCGAGGCGGTGCTGCACACGGCCAGCCCTTTCCACTTCAAGTGGACCGACGCCCAGAAGGAGCTCCTCGACCCGGCCGTCATCGGCACCACGGCCATCCTGAGGGCCCTCAAGAGGGACGCCCCGGGCGTGCGGCGCGTCGTCGTGACGTCGTCCTTCGCCTCCGTCATCGACGAGGCCAAGCTCGAGGACCCCGCCACCGTCTTCACCGAGAAGCACTGGAACCCCGTCACCGCCGAGGACGTCGGCCGGAGCCCCGCCACGGCCTACCGCGCCTCCAAGAAGCTGGCCGAGCGCGCCGCCTGGGACTTTGTCGAGAAGGAGCGCCCCGCCTTCGACCTCGTGACGCTGACGCCGCCGCTGGTGCTGGGCCCCGTCGTGCACCACTTCGCCGACCTGGCCAGCATCAACACGTCCAACGAGCGGGTCGTGGACCTGGTCCAGGGCAAGTGGCGGGACGCCGTCGCCCCCACGGGCGCCGCCTACCTGTGGATCGACGTGCGCGACCTCGCCACGGCGCCCATCCTGGCCCTCGAGAAGCCCGAGGCCACCGGCCGCCGGCTGTTCACCACCGCCGGCTGGTTCAGCAACGCCGAGATCGCCGCCGTCGTGCGCAAGAACTTCCCCGAGCTGGCGGACCGGCTGCCGGCCGAGGGCACCAAGGGCGGCGAGCGGCCGCCGAAGGACAAGCTGCACGGGTACGACGACAGCGAGACGGCCAAGATACTGGGCATCAAGTGGCGGACCCTGGACGAGAGCATCACGGACCTGGTCAAGGACATCAAGGCTTTCGGTATCTAGGATTCTTGTCTCGCGTGTGGGGGGGGGTGGGGTGTTCGTGTAGACTCTCGGGCAGAAAATTTGGAGATGAATGACCTTCACGTAGTAGAGTTCCAACACGATACAGGAGTGTTGCGATTCCTCGTCCGGGGATCGCAAGAGATGAACGATGCTAATCGTGTGAGACATCAGCATGTGAGTCGTTTGTGCAGGCACCCGACCTAGCAAAGCTTCGTAACCACCCAACCAGATATTTCAAGCAAGAAAAGGTCTATTGCCATAACCCGAAAACAGCTTCGATTAGGACTCCCTTGTTCTCTCGATCCGTCTTACAATGTAGCGTTGATCCCCCAGTTCCCAAGTCCAGGCCATCCACCACCACCGCCGCCGCCGCCGCCGCCACCACCCCCGTACCCGAACGGCTCCAGGTTCAACACCCCCCTCCGCACCGTCCGGCCAGGCCCGTTGCGGTTGTGCTCCTCGCACAACGTCGGGTCCGGCGCGCGGGCGTCGACGCCGTTCGCGCAACCCGGCCGCCGACACCTCGCGTGCGCCTGGCAGAAGCCCGAGGCCCCCGCGGTCCTCTCGCCGCACGCCTCCTGGCCGCACGCGTGGGCCCGGCAGTACGGTGATAGGGGCCAGCCGACGCCCTCCAGCCCGTCGGCGGCGCCGAGCATCAGGACGGTCCGCGAGGGGACCACGCGCACGCGCAGCTGCGGGCAGCCCGCGACGGCGCACTTGTGGATGGAGCAGTGCTCGCTGGGGCTGGTGGCGCTCGTTGCCGCAAGTGCGGGTGGGCGCAGATGTGGTTCACGCAGAGTGTGGTCCCGTCGACGGCGCGGGCGCCGCAGTTCTGGCTTTGCGGTAGCTCGTCTGCTAGTCTTGGGAATCGATATGTTTAGCTGACGTTATTCCGGACCGAGCTCTCCCCCTCCTTCC